TTGGGAATTGTTCATGTGAAACCTGATAGAGCTTTTAATATGATTTACAATAGAGCAAATGCACTTCCAGAATTTAGAAGCAGTAGAATGTGAGGATTTAAAAGGTAAAATATTTTTATATCTGAGCCAAGAGAAGACAAGAGAATGGCTATTGTAAAATCTCCAAATGAAGTTGCAACCATAACCAAAACTTAGAGATTGGATGTCCACAATGCCTAATCCCCCAAAGCAAGTAGGAATGCAGGTTTTATGCCATGCAATGAGGTGGAGTTTTTTCTCAGACGAAGAGCCATGATAAAGAAATTTTGAACACATCCTGACAAGCTGTTTACATCAGCTTTTCGGTAAAATCGCACCTCTAATCAAATAGGCTATAGTATTCACAATAGTAAATTTCAAGTACTAAATCCTACCTGCAAAAGATAAAAACTTTACTTTCCAACCAGCAAGAAAAATAGAAACCCTACTCATGAGTGGTTGGAAGTGAATGGAAGAAAGTTTTTTAATGGCAATGGGTAAGCCAAGATATTTCAGAGAATTAGCCGATATGGAGTAGCTAAGAATGGCAGTGATATCGGTGGCAAGCTGAGAATTACAAGAGAAGATGATAGAACATTTACTTTTATTAATGAAGAGCCCAGCACTTTCAGCAAAAATGTCCAAGGTATCATTAAGAGCATGTGCATTCATAAGAGAAGCAAGGCCAAAAACCAACACATCATCAACATATAACAAGTCATTAAAGACAACCGGTCCTCTAGAGATACCCTGGAATCTACCAGCGTCCAAGGCACAAGAGAAGGCGTCCATGACAATAGCAAACAGTAATGGGGATAATGGGAAACCTTGGCGAAGCCCAGAAGAAGATTTAAAAAAACCTTTAAGGACTCCATTAACATAAATAGAGAAGGGGACATCCATAATACAACCCTTAATCCACGAGATAAACTTAATGGGAAAGCCTTTCTCCTTCAACCTAGCCATGAGGAATTCCCGAGAGACAGAATCAAATGCCTTTTTAATGTCCAATTTTGTGCAAAAGGAACCCTTATTAGTCTCCGAGTTAAATTCTCTAAGAATTTTAGAAGCCAAAATAATATTATCCGAAAATATCCTTTTTTGAATAAAGCCCGCTCAACTCTCATTAATGATAAGAGGCATAATCCCTTTCATACGGTTTGCCAAGATCTTAGTAATAATTTTATAAAAAGTGTTACAAAGGGATATGGGTCTATAGTCATTTATATTTGAAGCACAGGGTTGCTTAGGAATGAGTACAAGGGCGGTTGCTTTAACACCACTAGGAAGAAGCCAGTATTGAAGAAGTTTTTAACAGCCTGACAAACATAGTGACCCATGATATTACAGAAGGTTTTATAGAAGTGAAATGTGAAGCCGTCGGGTTCAGGAGAGGAAAGGAAGCACCCGTAAAAACCACCTCTTTTATTTTAGTATCAGTAACAGGTGCAATCAGGGAATCTGCAAGATTAACAAGAATGGCGAAACAAGAAGGAATGGGTCTCCAATTGTAATTATTGGAATAGGGGGTATTAAACAGCCCCTGAAAGTGCCTGATCAAAGCATTGGAAATCGAAGATGGAGTAGTAAAATAGACTTCAGGAGTAGTAATCTCCCTAATATGATTGTTATTACCTCTATTTTTTATCCTGGCATACAGAAAACCCAAGTCATCTTCACTATTGAAAAGCCATTTAGCTTTAGCCCGTTGCAAAATCCAAGAACCTAAGCAATCTGATAATAAGTCAAAGAAGAGTTTATATGCTTAAGAGAACTGTTAAGATTAAGGTCAAGCAGATTCAGATGAATCATCTCCAGACAATTTCTCTGATGTAGTTCCAGAGTCTCAATTCTAGCTTTAAGATAAGAAGAATTAGTCCACTTGTTTTGCTTTAGGAAGCCTTTTAGACCTTTCAATTTGTAGTAAAGGTCGACAATTGGACTAGGTTCAGAGTGCTTGGCAAAAGCAGTAATGACCCCATCCTAGTAACCATCCATATTCACCCAGTAATTTTTGAATAAAAATCTCCCACCAGAAGGCATAGGGGTTCCAAAGAAAAGAACTAAGGGGGAGTGATCAGAGCAGCCAGGGGATTCCACTTTATAGAAGGAGGAGGGGTAAGTTTCCAACCAGGAATAATTTATCAACATTTTGTCTAATTTAATATGAATAGGGTAGGCAACTCTTTGATTAAACCAAGTGAAATTAAGCCCAGTCGAGGCCAGCTCAAGGGGTCCAATATCAAAAATCCAACTATTCATTTCATTAAGTTGGCCATGATGGGGTTGAAGCCCACCCAATTTTTCTTTGGCATTTCTGAAACAGCTAAAATCTACCATAACGATCCACAGGGTAGAAATATTGTCAGCTAAAAAAGCAAGCTGGTTCCATAGAGATGCTCTTTCAGATTGAGTATTGGCTGCATAAACCATAGTAAGGAGGAATTGAGAATTGGAGTTGAAGGACAGGTTACCATGGATAAGTTGGGAAGAGGTGCTAATAGGCTTAAAAGTAATACTTTTAGAATTCCATTTCAACCATATTCTCCCAAGATTAGATAAGCAAAGATTATTACAACTCATCTCATGCAGAAAAATATAATGAGAAAGGGAAAACCAGGGGTCGGTATTAGGATGAGTAGGGAACTTAGCCTCAAGAATACAGAGCATCTCAAGACGGTGGGTCTTAATCAAATTTTTACAAGCCAAAACTTTTTCAAGACCATTAAAGCCCCGAATAATCCAACAACCTAAGGGGGGAAAGGTCATTTGGCAAGGAAGAGGTTTGCTCTTTTTTGGCGCTTTTGGATCTTGGTGGCTTTGAATTTTGAGACTTGGATTGTTTTTTGTTATTGACGGGCTCCTTGTCAGCTTGGGAGGGATTGCTAGAAGAGGATTCAGAAGCTTCCATGATGTATGGGGGTTCTTCTGGTTGGAAAATGGCAAATTTATTAAGAGAAGTAGTGGTGGTGGAGGGCTAGTGGAACCATGAAGGGGAAGATTTGCTGATATTGGGGTTGGGAGATGAATGAGATTTAACTGGCATGTCCTAAGAGTGATGAAATTTTGTCCAGAAGGGGGGATAATTGGGCTCGGGCTCAGCCGATGGAGAGTTTAGATTAGGAATGGGGTCATCTTGGATAGTAACATCAAGAGGAGGGGAAGAAGGCCCAGCGGAGAGATTTGGATGCTCTGGTTCATGAACGGGTTCACTATGTGTGCCGGTGTAAGTAGGTTCAGTACAAGGAGCTAGGATGCTAGGAGTTGGGTGGATGAGAGGTTGTATGCTAGGATTTGGGAGCAAGGAAGGAGTGTTATTAGTGTGAGGAATGAGCCTAGGCTAACAAACTCTACTCTTGCTTCTACCACAAAATTGAGGTGGCTGTGGAGCTTTAGGTTGAGGATTTTTTGGAAAAAGGTTTGGAGGGTGGACCAGGGAGCCACAATGAGAGCAAGGATTCGGCATCCAATCATAGACCACTTTGAGCTCAACATCATCTCCATATAGACAAACCAGAATAACATCCGAAAAAGTAGATTTTCTAGATACCATAACGCAGACTCTTGCAAATGTCAACTGAGTTTTACGAGCAGTCAAAGCATCAACCGCCAAGGGGTGACCAACATAGCTTGCGATTTTTGAAATCCCCAAAGGGTTCCAAACAGCTAAGGGTAAGTCTAAGATTTTTATCCAAATGGGGATGGTGCTAAATTCATCCCGCTTAGGAATGAATTTAGGCTACAATTTTTTTAAAATAAACGGACAGTCAAAGAAAAATCAAGGCCCGCCTGACCAAGTGGCCTCAAAATCCTCCGCATATGCAAATTTAAATAGGAAAAATCCATCATTTAGGGAGAGAAGATCTACCGAACCTTTGGGAGTCCAAACCTTTTTAATGGTGTTCAAAAGACTCATGTAAGTGGGGGGGGGGTGGGGGGGGGGGGGGGGAATGAAGGAGAGGGAGAAGTCATTTGCCACCGGATCTTGATTAGGTAGATTACCGATGAAGTTGAGGCCAGGAGGAGCAGGGAAGACAACAGCTCCAGAACCAGGGAGAGGGGGGAAATCTGCCACGTAGGAGGAAGACGCCATCTGGGTGCACAGTGGGGAGGGGGAAGCCCCTCCCCGAGAGGTGGTGAAGAGGAGGCATGAAGGAGAAGGGTCCTCGCCAAAACCCTAGTAGAGCAACGCAAGGGCAAAAAAATCTATTCCTCTTGAAACTAATTTATACAAAATTTATTTTTTTTTCATAAATTCTCCAATGAAAGAAATAAAATACTCCTCTAAGGGCATCTCCAACCAAAAAACTCATTTTTCACTCCAAAATGCAGTAACTTGTCTCCAACCGAACTCCATTTTCTAACACAAAAAAAAGAATATTCCTAGTATATTCTTTTACCATATTTCATTTATATATTTTTAATCATAAATTTTATTTATTGAATTTTTGAATTTAAATATATTATAATAAAAAAAAATATTTTTTGCTCCATAAAATAATTTGGAATATTAATATTTCATAAATAAATAAATATTTAGTTAATAAATTAAAAATTACATTAGTAATAAAAAATATTAATATGTCATAATTAAAAAATATTTAGATTTCTAAAAAAATAAGATATTTCTAATTTATTATTTTAATTAGTAATAAAAATTTTCTAAACTTGAATCTTTAAAATTGAGAATTAACTTACGAATTAAAAATCAAAAAAAACAAATGGCGAATGAACTGTGCACCGCTATATTGGCGTCACACTGTTCATCTCCGAGCAAATGGCGTAAAGAATGGCGCTCGGTTGCAGCTAAAGAAGAACAAACACTTGAGTTGCCCTAAAGAATTCATTGTAAAAATATCAGTTTTTTTTTTTAACTTTATTTTTTAAATATTTGCTATTAATTTGTATAAAAAATTAGAAAAAATTGAAATGAAAAATTATTTTTTAGTTTCTAACTTTCTATAAGAAATTTGATATAATGGATAAGTCCTATATCCTCCGAAGCTCTTCCCGAAGCTCAGGCGCAGGCGCACGCAGCATGAGGCATGAGCTGGAGAATGCCCATCCTGGATTAGCTCCTCCGGCTTCTGACATCAATCGTGGATCCGACGAGGAAAAATGGCTTCTTGCCGTCGCATCCGATCGCTAGTTCGGTACTGCATCAAATTTTAGCTTTTAAAATATGAGGAAAGTTGGGTTATTTCGTCGTCTTCCTCGCTTGCCAATGGCAGAACTTCGGAGCTTTTTTAGACGAGAGACGTATGGGTGGAGAGCAACTGGTGGATGGCAGTCGACCACGTGCTCCAATTTGGCGCTGGAGGCTTGTTAGGGTTTTAACTATATAAAGGAGAGGAAAGAATACCCAAATTCCTCGTTCACCATTCACGAACAGGCGGGCTGCGACGGATTCTTCGGTTCAGCGCCATTTTGACAGAGGAATAGAAGTTGAAACCGTATTTCTTCCAAAAAAGCATTTCAATTTTCCATTTGATTTCATATGTTTTAACTTTATTTTTGCTCATACGGTAGAATAGAGCCTGCACAATCCTTAACCGAACTTGTTTCTTTTCCGTTTTGCTGCAGCGGCAGCAACTAAGAACATAATTGACCCTTTTTCCTCTTAGTTATTTTCCTCTTTAACTGTTGATACCTGTGACAATTGCATATTTCAAGTACCTTCTTTTGCCGTCCTGAGCTATGTTCTTTATTCAGGACAGATTAAAGGAGGTTCTACAGCACTTCTTCATCTAAGAACATGAAAATGGTGACCAGAACAGTTGATCTTAGATCTGATACTGTTACTAAACCATCCGATGTGATGCGAGCTGCCATGGCTAACGCTGATGTGGATGATGATGCCTTAGGAACAGACCCTACGGCATTCCAATTAGAGTCTGAGGTGGCAAAGGTTATGGGTAAAGAAGCTGCAGTCTTTGTACCTTCTGGGACCATGGGGAACCTCATAGCCGTTCTTGTTCATTGTGAGATAAGGGGAAGTGAGGTTATCCTTGGTGATGACTCACACATTCATGTTTATGAGAATGGGGGAATTTCAACCTTTGGAGGCGTGCATCCTAAAACTATAAAAAATAATCCTGATGGCACTATGGATATTGATAAGATTGAGGCAGCAATAAGGACTCCCACTGATTCCCTTTACTACCCAACCACTCGATTAATTTGCTTGGAGAATACGCAAGCCAAGTAAGAAATTCAAAGTTTTTATTAAATTGTTATTTTAACTTTACTAGTCAAGTTTGGGTTATGAGATTGGTATTTGCTTGTGAAGTTTCTCTTTCTTTTTTTTTTATTACATATTCATTTAAGTTATGTATATTTTTGAGATTTTCAATTATCTATTGCTTCAAATGCTTTGATATGATGCTCTTTAGATTGGTCTCTCATTTGCTACATGTGGGGTCTTCCAGTTCATCTTAGGAAGTCATAAATGCTACATATTTACATTTTTATGTCATGGCCTTACCCTCCAATGTTGTTGCTGCTAGACTTTCATATATAAAAAACTGTGCAGTGAGGCCGAGTGGGGCCTAATTTGTAGTAGTTAAGTCATTTATAAAGATATTCTGATAAAGAATTGTTCTTAAAAAAAAAAAAAAAAATTCCCAAATAACATCAAGAGTAGTTCTCTTTAAATAAATTGACCATGTTTTGTGAATTTGAGACAAATGGCCACGTGAAAATGACTCTTCGATCTTTCTTTGGATATGAAATAGTCTCCCTTGGAATCATCAATCCAGGCCAAACATTTCAACTTTTTTTAAAAGTCTGAAATTTTGTTTATTGTTGACAAAGAAATGCGATAATATATCTAAGTGCAAATTTAACTCTTAGCCGAACACAATGGAGAAAAAAGATTCATATAGCCGACCCCACGTAGTGGGATAAAGGCTTGATGTTGTTGTTGACAAAGCAACACATGTGGTTGCAAAGTGAAATTTCATTTGCATTTACCATTATGCCCATTTGCGCTCTCTAAAGTTATTGGTTTCAGAGAAATTATTGAGTGCGAAGTCCGGACATAGCTATGCATCCGGACTCCAATAAAATTGTGACACGTGGATTGTACACGTAAATTTTATTTATATATATTTATTATGGTACGTGACCCAGCGACCCGGCTCAATCCAGAGGTGAATATTTTGAAAGTTGGGGAAGCGGAGTTGGTCCATTGTGTTCACAGGCCTTGTTTATCAACATTGTAAGAGGTCCTCATCTTTTCAAAGCCAATACAAGCTATTTTCATCGAGAAAAGCCTCCTCACTTCCATGTCCTCATTACCAAGCCATAGATTAGGCCATGCAATTTGTTTGCAAATGGAATCATATTTTAATCAACTAAGATTATGTTCACTGTTACATCTCTTAGTATGGTATCTATACAACCCCTATATATTCTCCCGTTTTGATGAAGGTTTTTACCAAATTCTTAGATATTATTGAGAAATGTCAATACTTTAAGGAATGGATGCTCTAAAGCACCATTCATAGAACCAATATTTTCATTTCTTTCAGTCCTAATGATGGTTATGCAACGTACTAACAACTATGCCTTGTTTTAACTATAGCGAGTGTGCTTGCTAGTTCTTGGCTATTCATGTTTTTCAATTTTATTGAGGCATTCGATAGCTAGTTTGGTATTTTTAAAATGATTAGTTATCAAACTTAATATCTATTCACACTTGATTTTTTGAGATTGAAAAACTACTAAACTCTAAATTCATTGACCTTCACACCTACCATTTTATGTTGCTCTATAAAAGAGAAAGAAATTAATAACTACAATTATTCATAACCATAAAAAAATAGAGAGGAGGTGCAGAGAAAGGAGTGGGGTTTGCCAACCCCAAAGAGAAGGAAGGTGTTGTTTAGGTATTTGTAAGAGGGAGAAATCTATATCAAGAAGCAAATGATGTTGTTTTCAATTCCACCGAAAGGACTAGCTTTTTATTATGCTCTTGCAATATGGAATGTAAGCAACAACAACATTTTTTTTTCTTCGTGTCCAATCTCTATCTTCATAGAAGGTTATTGCATTTTCTCTTTACAGGTGGTATGGGCAAGCTTGTATTTGCATTTATTTGTAAAAGTTATAATTTCTTCATGTACTTTTTTAAAAAATCTAATACATTATTTAATCTCTGTATGGCTAGGATAGGTAAGTCTCATTGAACCACATAGATTTGCATCTTATGGCTGTAATCTTTGATATGTTTTCTCTTTATGTTTATTTGATCTTGCTTGAAGTTTTATTATTATCATAAAAATTGGTATCATATATTATGAGGAGTACAATAGTCATTAATTAGTTGTGTTTTATAATTGAGGTCTTGACAAAGATTTAAAGCAAATAATTATAGAAGGTTTGTGGCTTAAACTAGAATCTTTATATATAACCAAAAACTTATAATAAATTATATTAGAAGTAAAAAATTGTATTTACTCTGCATATAGGAGTGTACGTCTATTAAATCACTTCGCAATAATTATATTATTCAATATTTGAAAAATATTAATGTGATTATAGATGATGAGTATCAATCATTATTTCTATTGTGTTATTTACTTTTTTTTTTACAATTATTTTCATGATACAATGTTTTTGCTCATGATAGAAGAAGTTTAGTGGATAGAAAATTTTACTTTTTTCAAAGAATGTGATTTCTAAGCTTGAGGCAACTAATAAATTAATTGAAGGTATATTATCTGTTAGAGTGAGCTTCACAAGGGTTTTATTTGTTATCCTTATCATGACAAGAAAATTTCAGAATAAATTTAAATAGATCACTTGCTTATACTGTTAAAAAAATGGCATATAAAGAGGAATTTTTTTTCCTATATTAAAGACAGATCAAGAAATACAGGATAACCATAAAGAGGACAAATCAATTGATATAAGTATTCTTGCAATTTTTTTTTTAGTTATAATATTAATCATGCTCTTTTGGTGATTGAAAATAACATCTGTAATGATAAATGGATTCTAGACATAGCCTGTTATAATCATGTGTTTTATTAAAGTATATTTTTTATGTAAATGTCAAGTTCATGTGGTTGTGTTTATATGAGAAAATAAGATGTGTATAAGATTAAGGGTCTTAGTATAGGTTGAGGACACATAATGGTTCAGTTGTATTGTTGGGTAGAGTAAGGTATGTACCATCTAAAAGAGAAAAAAATTAATATCCTTAAGTGCTCTTAGAGTTATAGGATATAGATAATTGGGTGATGTTGAAAACCTTAAGGTTTGTAAGGGTGTGTTTGTTGTCTTGAAAGCAAATGGAGTTTAGTTGACTCTTATGTTTCATAAAATTTTATGTTGCATGTTGACATGTTGAATTTAATAATTATGGTGGTAATTTATGGAAGAAAAAAATGATAGTAAGTATATGTCATCAAGCACTAGAATTTTAAAAACTACTTAATAATCTATTGGTGATGATTGCAAAAGAGCAATGCAGAATAAAATTTCTGTAAAGGACATATGAGTATTTGCAAGGCAAGCAAAAATTTGGAATCAGTGAGCTTCATGAAACTAATGTTATGTTTGTAGCAAAAGGATATGGCATGTTTGCTACTAATGAACTTAGGTACTTCAAAGCCATAGTAGTTAACTTTGTGATTGGTGGAAAAAGGTTTCCCATGGTGAAGTGTTTAGAAAAGATGATTAAATAAGTATATTTAAAATTCAAACTCCATGTGGAAGATTATTTGGTGTGGCTTCTAAAGTTTCTTAATCATTTTGGAGAAGTTTGATTTTGTATTTCAAGATTGGTGCCTATCAAATTTAAGATCCATTCACATTTGATTTTTAAGATTGTGGCTATTAAACTTAAGATTCATTCACACTTGATATTATCCATATATCACATAGTTCATTAACTTTATTTGCCTTTAAGATAATCTGCGAACCCCTGCGCACCCCTACAAACTTAAGGGATTCAGTGCTATGTGAGAATTTATGTCCTGTAACATTAAGAGTACTTAAGGATATTAAAATTTTCTCCTTATAAATTATATGCTATTCACTAGCCAATGATATAGCAACACCTTAAGTCTTCAACTTCATATGCCAGTACCTCTAGTCTTATATACAACTTTAATTCTTACATTAATACAATTATCAAAGTTTGCTTATGCATAAAAAAAAAAAATTTCAATTAGAATACATGATTGTGCAAGCTAGCTTCAGATGTTTATAGTTTGTCTTAAGTCGCCAAGAAAATATTGTTGATGTCATAATTAGAAAATTTTATTACAACACTTGCATCAGCTGATTTATCGTCTTTGTGGTTGTCATATGCTTTTAGATCTATTTAAGACAACTAAATGTATCTTCATGTATCTTTTCTTTTTATAGTAGAAGTGATTTACTTAAAGTTGTTATGTGATTTACTTATATTATGATTAGAATAAGATCCTCACTTATAGACTTCATTCTAACCTACAATAAACCTTCAATTGATTTATCATATCCTTTAATAAAAGTGAATTCTTGACATCCTCAAGTTTATTGTGTCACAATAATTCAACATATCTTAGAAGTGTTTATAAGGACATAATAACATATTAATAATAATGCTTGATATGCATCATCAAAAATTACATTAATATTTTTCAAGTTATGAATAATAGAATAGCCGGTTGTGATTTGATTGATTAACTTCTTACATGTAGTGTAAATACAATTTTTGCCTATAATATAAATTGTTGGAGGGGGGGTTCTTGGTCATGTATAAAGACTCCTCTTTGAGTCACAAAACCTTTTGTAGCCGTGTTCTTGAAAACCTCTATCAAGAGCTCATTTATCATGCATAGTTAAATCATTGGGAGAGCGCTCTCTTTCATATCTTCTTTTTCTTGTTCACAGACATCTTTAAATGACTCATGGGTGCTTTCATTAGATCTTGTTGGATTAAAACACTCCGCATCTTATAGTTCTTTTAGAGCTCAAAGTTCATTGAGCCATCACACTTCTCAATCTCAAGCTTCACAACCGTCATACTCCGCATAGCCTTGCCTCTTTATTAGTTATTATGATAATAATACTTCGAGCAATATTAAATAAATACGTAGAACATATAGAAAAAAGTCACAATCACAAGACAAAAGTTTATGTGGATCAGTGAGAGTCATCTATGTTGTTGTTACAAAAGTTCTAATAGTATACTAATCTTAAAATTACACTTTGTATAAATAAGGATTGAAATACCATTTTTTCCATGCCTATGATAAAGAGGCAATGCAATCACCTACTGTGATGGCGAAGGTGAATGTGGAGAAAGAGATAATGTTGTTGCTTCTATTACTCACATCTTCTATTGCAAGAGTACAATCAAAAGCTTCACCTTTTGATATAACTAAAAGTAGCAATGACTGCTTCATCTTGTGCTTGATCTTGAAAAGGTCGGCTTTCTCTCTTCAGAAAACATGTGAAAACTACTTCCTTTTTTCTAGGTTGACATCTCCCTCTCATTTCTCTCTACTTTTTTGTGGTTGTTGATAATTACAACCATTGATTTCTTCTTTTATAGAGCAACATAAGATGGCAAGTGTGTAGTATTAAGTGAACAAATCTAGAGTTTGATAGCAATCAATCTTGAAAAATCAAATTTAAGAAGTTTATTGAGTTAGGTAGCCATTTGTCTTGCAAATGTTCTTTAGTTCCTCTGTGAAGCATCCACTTTTGCTAAATAATTTTTTATTATTTATATATGTGTCAGACATGCTACCTGCCTGGAATCACGGTTTTCCTGTGTCTGCTTCTTCCAGAAAAACCTATTGGACCATTATAGGATTTCTTTTTTGTTAAATTTTTTTAGTCCTTCAAGCATGATGCCTTGGAGCTTGTTAATTTTCTTGTTGTTCTGAGTGATTTAAATATTACCAGTAATTAATTAAGAGAAAAAAAAAACTTTTATGAGATGACAGAGATAACACTTGTAATTGGAAAGGAAAGCATTGTTTGAGTTGAGAATGCAGTGATTTTTTGGATGTCGGAGCGGTAGTTATTGAAATCCACATTACATATTATTATGGGAATTTGTTGTCACAATATATTCCTTGAGTAATCGCATTTTTACTACAAAAATTATAGAAAACAAGTATATATTCCCTCAAATCCGGTTATTTAAATAGCATCCTGTAAACCTTATCATGCAAAAATGCAATGTGAATTTTACAATTGAACTGTCTTAACTTGTATATTTTTTGTTTATCCTTGCTGCAGTTGTGGAGGTAGATGCATTTCTGCTGAATACACAGACAAAGTTGGTGAGATTGCTAAGAAACATGGTTTGAAGCTTCACATAGATGGAGCACGCATCTTTAATGCTTCTATAGTACGTATCTTAGCATTGCTCATAAAGTACTTGTAAATTAGTTGGTTTCATTTCATAAACATCTTTTACAATACCATTGAAATTTCTTTCCAAGTATCTTCACATTCTATTTTTCTCATTTTTAGGATCATCATATCTAATTTCCTCTATTCATTCAAACAAAATGATATTCTCATCTCATTATTTATTTTTTCATCATGTATTCAATTGGGTGGAATAGTTAGCATGTTGCAGTTTAGAATCACACGTATATATTTTGTATTCCAAGTAATGTGCTTGATATCTAGATTCATTTTCTCATTGTTTTAGTTTGATATGCCAGGCTCTGAGAGTTCCCGTTCACAGGCTTGTACAGGCTGCTGATTCTGTTTCGGTACTTATGTTCCTTCATGTTCTTAAGTTCACATCAGATTTAGTTTTTTATTTGTTTAATGGTGTAAACTTGACTTCAACTAATACCAAAGCTTGTCATTCATTTTTCTTGTAATTGTAATATCATTCAGGTGTGCTTGTCAAAAGGTTTGGGAGCTCCTGCTGGATCTGTTCTTGTAGGTTCGAAAAACTTTATTGCAAAGGTAAAGGTGTAAAACTAGCTTCAAACACTAAGACCTATCCCTAAGCATTGCTTTTCACCCTACTTTTTTACTATATTTTAGGCTAGAAGGCTTAGAAAAGCCTTAGGTGGATGCATGAGGCAAGTTGGAGTACTTTGTGCAGCTGCTTATGTTGCTTTGAGTGAGAATGTTAGCAAGCTTGAGGATGATCATAGAAAGGCCAAAATAATAGCAGGTCCTATCTCGTAACTCTAGTTTTGCATGTTTTCTTTTTTGTTTGTTAGTTCTTCCATGAAATTTCTAGATTTCTGAAAGTATCCGCGGACCAGTGGTTGAAGGAGAATGTTGTTTCTTTGGATCACAAATTCAAGTGAAATATTTTGAGATTTATTACTCATCATTCCCAAAAAAAATGTTTAGATTAATCATCATAAGCAGTGAAGCCCATGTTTGGATTTTTGCTTTGTAACTTATGAGTTTTGTTTACTATTCTTAAATTATTTGAAGTACTTCTTATGGTTGTTAAAATTATTTATCTTTTTCAGAAGGATTGAGTCAAATTGAACAATTTAGTGTTGATGCAAAGTCGGTGGAGACCAATATGGTTAGTTGTCTATAGTTCAGTGCAAAATCAATTTTGCAAATAACTTAGCTGTTGACAGTTTAATTTAGAATCTTGCAGTAGTTTTAATCTTCTTTTTTCCTTTTAGGTCTTTTTTACCATCTTAGATACTTCAGTTTTATCACCTAAAAGGCTCTGTCAAGTCTTGGAAGAGCGTGGTGTGCTTGTGCTACCTTCAAGCTCAACTAGGTACATTTTCAAACTAGTATTTCTTGCTGTTTTCTGCATTCTCTGCAGAATTTTTTTGTACTTTATTTTGCATTTGTTGGGAATTAAGTAAGATCAAATTCAAATCAACGAAGATAAAAAATAAAATAAAATAAAATAACCACACTGATGACTGAACTTGCTAAGAATTTTATATATAGTATTCCAGTTGATTCATGTCCTGCATCTCCGCTCTAGGTTTCACTATGTTTACAGTTGTGTTGTGGTCCTTGTGGAGTATTTTAAAGTCCTGAACTCTCAAATATCATCCACAGATGATCATGTCCGCCTTTATAAAAAAAAATGGTAATAAAACAACTCTCAAAGTACTCAGGCTTTGTTTGGGACGGCTTTCTTACTACTTAAAGCAACTTTTTAGTACAAAAATCAAATTTTTTTTAACTAAAAAACTACTTTAAGAAGAAGCAAGAAAACCGTCCCAAACGAAGCCCTAATTTGCGTAAGAGATTTCTTCGTGACATATTAATTACGCTCCACAACTTAGGCTTTGTTTAGGACGGCTTTCTTACTTCTTCTTAAACCCGCTTTCTAATACAAAAATTAAAATTTTTGTAGTAGAAAACTGCTTTAAGAAGTAGTAAGACAATCCTCCCAAATAAAACCTTAGCAACAATATCTCTCTTGCATGTTAATGACATTCATACTAAACATTTCTTAATATTTATTTAAAATTAGCTGTATATTACAGCTACTCCTTGAGAACAAACAAGCTTTTAATGAATAGCTTGCTGTCATAGCAGCTTCGTTTAGAGGAGAAGAGGAGCAGTAAACGAATGAAGAGTAGGAATCTCATATACATTAGTGAATACAAGCCAAAACTATTTATCTAAATACTACTAGAGCTGGAATTACTCAACTACCCATAGTAGTTACATAAACCTGAAGAGTGGTTCTGTGTAAGCGGCTTGCTTGGCAGAAGACTCAGAGTGATGGAGCTGAGTAGTATTCGCCTTAGTAATTGAATTGGTTTGATTATCATTATCAGCCCCCTCAAACTGATGTGGGGAAAAACCATCAGTTTGGATGTAAGAGATTGAGGCGTTGAGTGTGTAAGTACTTGGTGAAAACATCTGCAAGCTGATCCACACTGGAGACATGATGAACCGTGATGTGCCGGGCCTGAATACAGTCACAAATGAAGTGATAGTTTATTTCAATATGCTTGGTTCGTGCATGAAAGGCGAGGTTAGAAGCTAGTGACAATGCTGAAATATTGTCACAGTTGAGTGGGGTTGATGAAAGATTTATAGAGAAATCAGCACATAAGCGATGAAGCAAAATAATATCCACAGCTGCAGCAGCAAGAGAGCAATATTCTGCTTCAGTAGAAGAGCGAACCACGGTGGATTTCTTCTTGACTTATCAAGAGAGGAGTGTTGAACCAAGAAATATGCAATAACCTATAGTTGATTTGTCTCTAGCCCAATATGAGTCGGCATAAGTTGATAGTTTGAGATTGGTCTTGGGTAGAGACCAAGAGATATGGTGCCTTTGAAGTAGCGAAGAATGCATTTTAAAAGCGGAAAATGGTAGAGTAATGGTTGATGCATATGTTGGCACAATTTGTTGAAGGCGAAAGCAATATCAGGTATGGTGTTAGTTAAATACTATAATGAACCAGCAATTTGGCAGAAAAATGCAGGTTGAATGTGGTTAACTGTAAGTGAGTTGAAGTTCTGGTTCAGATGGCCCTTTTGCAGGTAAAGGTGTTGCCAATGGTTTGCTATTTGACATGGCTGAAGTGGATAAGAGTTTAACATAGTTGTGTTGAGACAAATGGTAGCCTTCGAATGTCCGAATGAACTCAATGCTGAGAAAGTGAGACAGTGCGCCAAGGTTTTGAATTTGGAATTGTTGCCGAAGCTGTTGTAGCAGGGTAGATATAAATTGTGAATCAATACCACATAACAGGATATCGTCAACATAAATGAGTAAATAAACCGTTTTCTGATTGTGTTCATAGATGAAGAACGAAGGATCGGCGGGACTAATTTTAAAATCTCTGGCAAGAAGAAATGAGGATAAAGTTGCAAACCACTGCCTTGCTGTCTGTTTAAGACCCTAGATTGCTCTGTGCAATTTACAAACATGAGTAGGTTGTTGAGGGTCTTGAAAACCTTGGGGTTGGGCGATATAAATTGTCTCAGTGAGATTCCCATGTAAGAAGGCATTAACTACATATAGTTGAAGTATGGACCAGCCATGATGCAAGGCAATGATGATAAAGGTTTTAATGGTTAGGAATTTGACCACGGGACTAAATGTTTCTTGGTAATCGATGCCGTATTCCTATTTGAACCCTTGAGCAACTAAGCGGGCTTTGTAACGAGCAAAGGTTCTGTTGGCATGACATTTGATCTGGTAGATCCACTTGCATCCAATTATGGTTTGATTTGATGGAGGAGGTACTAAGGACCATTTTCCTTGGGATTGTAGAGCATTGAATTCGGATGGCATGGCTGCACGCCAATGAGGAAGCTTGGCGGCAGTGTAGCAGGCAGGAGTAGAGGAGATAGTGTGTTGAAGGTCTAAAATTTGACGGGATTTTAAATTTCCTGTATGGAGATGGTTAGTCATGGGATGACGTGGTGGAGGTGGAGGGCCAGTAGAGCTAATGTTTGGTGAAGTGGAGGAGGAAACAGAGATGGAGTTATTAGAAGCAGCAGAGGTTGATTTTGTAGAGGATGGAGTGGAATGTGATAATGGCTCAGTGGGTTGAAGTGTTGGAGAGTTGTGAAATATATGTGGAAGGTTGGGTGGAAAGGGTGGAAGGCTTGTGTGGTGAGGAGTAGTTTCTGATAGCGAAGTTGTAGGTGTTTGAGTAAATGCTTCAAAAAAAATGACATGTCTAGAGACAATGCTAAAAAAAAAAATGTTTGGAGACAATGCTACAGTTTGTTAGGGTATTGAAGCATATATAGCCTTTTTGTGAAGGAGCATAGCCAAGAAATATACAAGCGGCAGAACGTGGGGCAAGTTTGTGGGAAGCATAAGGATGGAGCAGGGGTAGCAACGACAACCAAATTTGCGTAGATGCAGATAATCAGGTGGGGTTTTGTAGAGGAGCTGGTAAGGTGATAAAAAAAGAGTAGTTGGTGAAGGTAGACGATTGATTAAATATACAACAGTGAGAATTGCATCAATAAAAAAAGAAGCAGATAAATTGGAGTCAATTAGAAGCGTTCGAATTGTGTCAATAAGATGTCGGTGTTTGCGCTTAGCAACATCATTTTGTTGAGGAGTATGAGGACAAGTATATTGATGAGAAAAGAAAAAAAAGTATATTGATGAGAAATACCATTTTTGCAGAGAAATGAGCATAAATTATTGTACAAAAATTTTCCACCACCATTGGTTTGAAGGGGGCTTATGGTATGTTGAAGTTGTTTCTCAATTAAAATTTTGAAGTTAATTATTATGGAGGTGACTTCAGATTTTAGTTTGAGTGGATAAAGCCATGAGTATCTTGAATTATCATCAATTAAAAGCAAATAATATCTAAAACCAGAACGTGAGACAATTGGGGAAGGACCCCAAACATAAGCATGGATTAATTCATGTGGAAATTTGGATACGCGAGTAGAAGTGCTAAATGGTAGCTTGTGGCTCTTAGCAAGAGCACAGGCATTACAAAAAGTGTATGTAGAAGAAAGTTTTGCAGTAGGAATATATTCATAAACAACTGCTAAAGTGGTTGAATTTGGATGACCTAGCCTTTGGTGCCATAGGTCGGATGGAGAGATGGAGACGGTCGTGGTAGCGGCAATGATAGGAGCATTCATGGAATGACGGTTGAGAGGATAGAGGCCATTATGGCAAGGACCATGGAGAATGATGCGTTTGGTCTTCAAGTCCTTTACACAAAAACCAGACTTGTTAACTAAAATAGAATAATTTTTATCTTTAGTTAATTGTGATATGGAAATGAGTTTATAGGTAAGATTTTGCTCATGAAGAAGGGGAGTAAGGGAAAACTTATGAGACGGTGTAGGAAGTAAACCTTTATCGGACTGAAGAATGGGGAAGAGAATTGCCATTGCCAATGAGAACTTGATTGTTACCAATGTATAGTGATGGTTGTTGAAGAGAATGAGTTTCTGGAGTGAGATGAGTTGTAGTTCCTGTGTCCGGGTACCAAGTTGATGTAGTTGTATCATCTATAAATGCAATATTGGCATTGGAGGAGTTAGATGAATATTGGAGGTTGGTTCGATTCCAACAGTTTAGAGCTGAATGACTTCTTTTCCCACAAATTTGACAATCTCCGGCGAATTTGGGCTGACTGGAACGAGAAGAATTTGCTATTGGTGAGGTACCCCCACGACCACGATAGAATGGAGATGGACCACGACCTCGTCCAAGATTGTTGGTTAGAGCAAAATGAGTGTCAATTTGCTGGACAGAATCAGTAACAGCAAGATCCTTAAATGCACTTGTTGCTTGATTGACTTCTTCGCTACACAATAGTGGTGAGTAAAGATCGTCGAGACTAACTGGTGTATGTTTAGTCGAAATAAATGCTTTAAATGATTGATAAGAAGCCGGCAAGCCATTTAGTATATAAAGGATAACATCTTACGTGTCTATATTACCCCCAACGGCTGCGATATTGTCAACCAGTCATTTTACGTGAGACAGATACTCTTGCATTGACTAGCTTTGCATTGAAATAGAATGCAGTTCATTTTTTAATTGGATTACCCTAAGAATGATTTGTGGAGAAGAAACGATGTTCTAGAGTAGACCAAATTAAAGAACATGTATCAAGGTTAAGAATATATGGTAGAATAGATGGAGAAATGGTATAAAATAATGCTACCGAGGGATTTTGATCTACCAAATGCCAGGAAGAAAACAAGGGATTTAGAGTGAGCTGATTTTCGGCAAAAAGGATGTGTTTAGGTGGACATGAAATACTGCCATCGAGATGACCGGAGAAGCCGTTTGCGGTGAAGAGTTTGAATATTTGAGATCTCCTAGTAAGTTAGTTGTCTGAAAGAAGCCGGATATGAATAATATTTTTTATATTTGATATCAAAATTTAAGTGTGGATGGAATTTGAGTTTCAGTTGAAGAAGAAGATGGCAGAATAGCTGTAGCAGTTGGCGGAGGTGTGGAAGGAGAGACGGACGAATCTCCCTTTTATGCGAAATGGATGGATTGGTGTTTAGGCTAGCCGCTCTGATAGCATGAGAACAGTCAAGCTTTTAATGAATAGCTTGCTGTCATAGCAGCTTCGTTTAGAGGAGAAGATGAATAGTAAACGAATGAAGAGTAGTAGTAATCTCATATACATTAGTGAATACAAGCCAAAACTATTTATCTAAATAACTACTAGAGCTGGAATTACTAAACTATCCATAGGTATTTACATAAAGCTGAAAAGTGATTCTGAATAGGCGGCTTGCTTGGCAGAAAATTCAGAGTAATGGAGCAGAGTAGTATTCGCCTTAGTAATTGAATTGGTTTGATTATCGTTATCGATCCTTTGGTTGGAGCTTGTAGAACATCAATTGTAGGAGGAAATTTTCATGCAAAATAAAATAATAAGATGAAAAATTAGATTTTTCTCAAGTGGAAGTTGACTATATAGATCTTAGGAGAGAGATGCAAAGAAATAAGGTTCCATCTCCTCATCTTCAGCCTATCAAAGTGGTTCTGCATTTTCTCGTTTGGAGCTATGCATAGAACAACATATGCTTACTAAACCTGCCAGTTATTTTTGCAAAAAAGAAAACTACATACAGAGGTTCCTCAAAAGGTAGTTTTTTTATTATGTTTTCTGATTCCTGTGAACTCTTTTGTGAAACTCTTGTCACTCTAACACTTTGCTTTATTATATTCTTTTGTGAACATTTGAAATACAATTCAATCATTATATGCTCCATTTTTAACTCTAGCGACGGCGGCAACTTCGATGTTGATGTCTCATATTTCTCTCTGCAACATTTATTTCTTAAGACTTAGACTTCATTTGGGATGGCTTTTTTATTGCTTCTTGAAGCAACTTTACAGTATAAAAATTAAAATTTTTTGTATTAAAAAGTTGCTTCCAGAAGCAATAAGAAAACTATTCCAAACGAAGACTTATTTCCTTCCACTTTTCATAAAGCCAATATCATAGTAAGATTCATCATGGACTGATCACATGAACCTGCAAATTATGATCAAAATGTTTCCAATTGTTACATATATCATAAGATTTTGACCAGATCCCTCTTTTGATTTGCTGTAATCAGTATCAGAATAGTTCTACATTACCAGATATCAGACAATGATGTCAACTATGCCCTGACATGCATTAAGGTAACTCAGAAACATAGCAATTCTATCTATGAAATTTCTACAGAAACCTGATACTGTTTCTCCATCTCCTTTTTCCAGCAAGCTGTTCATCAAATTTTGACTGAAGCTTCACCAAACAATGGAAACTAATCAAGCAGCCAAGCCATGGTGATGATCACTGAAGAAATTGTTTTTATTTACTAATCTTGCCATTGTTTGTTACTGCAATTAATCTCTTAATAAGACTCTCTCTCTCTATTTTCCCTTACCAAGCTCTCTATTCTCCCTTACCAAGATCTGAAAGACTTTGCTGTCAGTCTTATAATACTTGACCTCTGTTTAGTTTGCTTGGAGGCTGGTTATCTTAATTAAGCTTTACTAATTACTTAAATAATCATAATAATTTAAATATATAATATTTCAGTAAATATTTATAATTTTAATTAAAATTGTTTTTGTTTATTAAATATTATTTTTAATTTTTTTGTGAAGCTAATATTTTAATTTTTTAAAATATAATTAGTTGAGACAAGAAAATAAAAGAAAAATTAAAGAAATAATGAAATTATTACATTAGCAGTATAATTAGCTCTTAGTATGTTAGTTTATCTATAAAAATAAATTAATGTGTTGGTTAATATTTAAATTTGTCCATTCTTAGAGTAAAAAAATTAATTTTTTTTATATTAATATAGAGAAAAAGACAAGGACGTAAAATAAAAGAAAATTAAATGTTTTTATTAATATGAAAATAATTTTTGTTTACTAATTATTAATTAGATAATATAATATTGCAAATCATGTTGCACGAGGCGTTTAAGAAATATATTTAATTATTTCTTGATAGTACAATATTGCAATAAAAAATAATTATTTTTAACGGTACTTCACATTAAAACTAAGCCCTTTATGCCATCGTAATCTTAAGGCTTAAGTACACTTAATTATTTTTGAAACTCTAAACCCATTTTTAAATTAATTAATTATATAAGCAGTGGCACTTTGGATCATTTTTAATTAGTTTTTTAATTATACTATTTATATATTTAACATTAAAATTTTACTATTTATTTTTATGATATGCAAATTTTTAAATAACACATGTTACAGTTTATAATTAAACTGCTTGTTTCTAACGGTTTGTTGATCCTGATGCTCGTTACGAGCGAGATCTAGTTGCGGGTTGTGTCACTGGCGGAGAAAGGGTGTCCTAAGGTGGAAAAATTATTAGGTCCGAACACTTGACGTAGCTCTATATCCTGACGCCAATAACATGTCGCCACGTGCTTTTACTCTTTACCGTGCGGCCCGACGACCCAGACGGTATTGCTATGTATTGACAGATTTGTGCAGACCGGGGTATTGCTACGTATTGCTCGGTATTGCTCGACAATAACGAGAAATACCAAACTGTCAAGACTAATAGCTAGCAATACCGAGCAATACCTAGCAATACCGGGGTATTGCTAGGTATTGCTCGGTATTGTTAGGTATTGCTCTTGACAGATTGGTATTTATCGTTATTGTCAGCAATACCTAGCAATACCGAGCAATACCCGAATATAGCAATACCGTGTTCCGGTCTGGGTCGAGTCGTCGGGCCGCGCGGTAAAAAGTAAGAGCACGTGGCGATATGTTATTGGCGTCCAGATGTAGAGCTACGTCCGCTATCTGGACCTAATAATTTTTCCCTAGGGTGGGCACATGCACCCCTCCAAAAGTTTACTTTAAAAAATTAACTACTAAAACAAGATTCTAAAATTCATACCATGCATTGAATCGAAAGGAAATTTTGAACTATTAGAGATGTACTTATCCAATTAGAAATCAACCAAAATGTTAACAACATATTTACTTTTTACTGTTACATAACATACATCAAACTGTGATTTTAAGTAGTTATTAATCATTTCAGTCTTGTTCAGCAACTATATATAATATATGTATGTGAAAGCAAGTTTGAAGTTGGCCCCCCGCTAAAAAATTTTCTATCTCGGCCACTGGTTGTGTGGATCCTCTTTTTCATCGAGGTCTCATTGTGATTTTCTTATATCTTATTCGTACTTCACACGCCGTCGCCAAGCCATTGATCCTCTTGCCAGCGAGATCTTGTCATGACTTTCTCTTTTTCATCGAGATTCGAGGGTATCATTAAGAAGATAATAAAAGACTATATATTAAAGAGAATAGTTTTAAATATTATGTATGTAAATCTTCTTTAAAAAAAGATAGAAAACAAAGAATTGAAGTAATAATGAAAATATTTAAATGTCTTCATTTTATTTTCTTATTCATAATTTTAATCATAAATATGAATTAATTAAAATTTTTGTTTTCAATTAGAGTGATACAAAAAATTTCATCAACATATAATTGGGGGCACGAAGCCTATTTTGTGGGGCATATACCCAGACTAAAATTTTAAATATTTTTATTTATAATAGATATCTATTAATAAGTCTCATATTTCTAGATATTAACAACAAAATTCAATTTATAGCCTATTTGAATACTAAAATTAATTTATATTCATCTTTAAGAAAAAAATTTTACTCTCAAAGTGCTTGATTTGCTCATATTATCATTTCTTACAACAACACAATAATATCAACAAAAGTATGATTTCAACTTCATTTGGGATGACTTTATTATTATTTTAAAGTAGTTTTTTAGTATAAAATTTTAAATTTTTTAACCAAAAAGCTGCTTGATATATCCTCAAAAAATTATCTTGATCGGGCACAAATCTCGAGGCAAAATTAAGTTGGAAACTTCTAAACTTAATTCTAGGATCCTTCAAACTCCAATTTCAACAAACATACAGTCAAACTGAACATCTTGAATATATGAACCCAACGACACCAAATTTCACCGAATATGAGCCCATACGGGTCCAAATTGAAGACCCGAAGCCCATTTGAAATGTTCAAACCATAAATTGGATGATCAAACAATTTCCAATCTTGACATGCTTATAGTCGAATCGAGTGGCTCGACGAGACTAATCCAGTGAGCTCAAGATCGTTGACTTCTGATATTATTAAGACATCGTTGAATTCTGATATTATTAAGACATTCAAATGTCTAGTAAATGATCAACGATCAAGGGGATGAACATGAGCTATCCATTCAAATCACTCCCAACTTATCATTGATCGGGCCACCCATTTATTGGTCATGCTACTATCAGAAATTTACAAATTAACCCCTTATTTCTTATGGAAAGAGACTTAAGCAAGGAAGAAAATGAAGAGAGTGAAACTAGATTTCTCTTGCCACCAAACTCCTCCTCGACCACTGCCGAAATTCTACCCCGCCACCATATGACGCCACATTTCCGCCCGGCCACCGACAGACACCAGACTTCAGCCTAGCAGCCAACTGACGCCGAATTTCCACCCTACCACCGAATGTCGCCATATTTCCATCTAATATGCACTCATCACTAGATTTCAACTCGACGGTTGATTATTGTAATCTAATCATCCTCAATAGAGCGGATCGGTCGCTTGCAATATATTCAAATACTAGTCGAATTATTTCAATTGATCATGTCCCTGTAGTTTTTTCCATTTTGCAGGATTTTCCACATAAAAATATTTTATTTTTATCTGGGTGCTGGATATCCGTACAATGATGAATCATAAAATTCTAACTCTATCGCTATATATATTCTAGCCTGCAACATAGAGCAGTAAGAAAATCCATCCCTAACGAAATCATTATGTCAATCCTCGATGAGAAAACTAAAAGAATTGTATTAGGTAATCGATAAGAAGTGTAAAATTTGTCGAACAATTATAATATTAATTTTCAATATATTTTGATTTTTTGGTAAAATATATCAATCAAATATTTATTTATTTTTTAATAAATTAAAATTATTTTTGATGAAAATTTTCTCACCTACAGAGGCACCAGCATCTTTACTGCTAAAAGCAAGAGCAGCTAGCCAAGTGCTTTCATATCAGCAAGTCCTCTCAATAGACACCACTTGTACGGCTTTTGATAAATAGAAACAGTATGCCACCTGAGTGAGCCAAGCAAATCAATCAAATATAAAGCTGAAATCTAGTAAATTACTAATTTACCCTCATCTAAATAGTGTTAGTGCAGAATTACAAAAGAATTAGCTCAGCTGTGGGCAAATTAGTCTATTACTTCATTAATTCGGGTTAATTTTGATTTATTATATGTAGCATTGTTAAAAAAAAAAAAAAAAACATTATGTCGTTTTTGTTTAAAAAATGTAGGAGAATTTTTAACCTACTAGTCTACTATACATATTTAATTTAAAGTTTTTAAATTTTTTTATTAGAATAATGTGATCTAAATTTGACCGGATAAATCTTAAAATTGTCAAATTAATTTTTGATACGTGTTGAAAAATTCTCTTGATGTATTATTTATATTAAAAACTTTTTGAATTAAATATATAATCATTAGAATGTGATTTTAATAAATTTATTGTCAAATTGAATATTTTGATGAGACGAATTCAACGAATATAAAAAAAATTAATCAAAGTTAAAATGGGTTGAAATCAAATATTTGAAGTATGGTTGAAGATTTCATGATATTAATTGAAGGATCAAGTAGTTTTTTTTAATATTATAAGGTTGTAATGAAATCGAGCGTATTGACAAGACAACTCTAACGAGGCTAAGATTACTCAAATTTGATATCATTAAGACACTTAGATGCTGAAAGAATGATGTTTGATTAAGGGAATCAACGTAAGCTAAATATACAATCATGAAGGAAACAAACTTAAATTTAGATAAAGTTTAAAGATGTGAAGAACTCAAAAGCTCTACCTGACATTTGATACGAAGGATCGCACCCAACTACTACTGCCGTCTGGTTGACATCATTCAAGGTCTCTAAAGCATCACAACCTTGAACATTTTACAGTGAGTTTTCTCATTTTAACACACATCTAATTTGAAGCATATTAAACAAACTTGGACATTGTAATAAGGTAAGAGTAAGCCCTCGAATCTCATCCTTAGAGGATTGAATGTGCAAGAACGAGAAGGAACAAGTCCTAAAGCTTCAAATTTTGGAGTAGGCTGATTAAAAGAGAGCACCATCACAGTATGATGGAGCTCACAAACATTTTAATTAATAACAAAATGGGATGGAGATTAAAAGATGCTTGCATAGCTCCCTCTTCTAGCACAACCTCATCAAGGTTTCTAAAGCACTAACAATTCAACCCATCTACCTATGCTCCTTGGCTTATTAATTTGTGATCTTTAGGCTGCTCTCATAATGTTATAAAAAATAACTTTTGATGATTTATTCAAAAGGAATTTTATTTGAAGGAAAGGAAACAACTTATGCCTTGGTATAGCTTTCAAGAGTC